GCCGTGCGCCCACACAAGGGCATGGCACTCAGCCTTACAAGGGAAGCAGACCCCACACATGTCACACGGTGACACAGACAAGCTTCAGGCGCTTGTGCTCACTGAAAGGCATTCAAAGGCACACACTGTGTGATTCTCTTTGCATAAAAATGCAGATGGGACAGAGCAGACCTCAGCTAGTGGTAAGGAGGGGTGGGTCCTGCTTGTGCTGTGGGGTAGAAGTCATAGGACCAGGTGTACTGGATGCACAACACTGAGAATTTATTTAACACCGCTGGGGCATACTTTAGAGTGGCAGATTTTTTGTTGTTGTTGTTACTCGCCATATTCAAAAGAATGGGAGCATACATGCTCAGCTCTGGGGACAGGGCTGCTGCTGGGACCTGGCCCCAGGCCTGGCTGGACTGTGGGGGCTGATGGTGCCTCCCAGGCCTTTGTCTCTAGATGCAGCAGTGGGGGAATCAGAGCAGCCATGGGGTAGGGGGTGTGTCTCAAACGCTGCCTCTCCAAAGTCCTCACAGCATCTGGCCGAATCTCAGGCCCGGCCTGCCTCCTCCTTGAGCGGACTGATGCCTCAGCGGGCTGCAGATGTCTGTAGTGGTCTGTGGTGGATGCCAATGATGCCCTCGGAGCTGAGGTACCATGCTCCCTGGTCCCTCCCCACATGCACTTCCCCAAGAAGCTGGTGGGCCCTGTGTCCTTGCAGAACCCTCTGAAGCAGCTGTATAAACTCAGCGTGGGAGGAGGTGATCTGCTCGCATCCCATCCCTCCCAGAGGAAGGACGCTGCGGAAGTTACATCCTTGCCAGAGTGCACAGTCATCCTCAGCACCACACTACACTGTCTCCAAACTATTTCTGGGCACCTGCTCTCGGGATGGCACAAGCTGTGCCCTGCAAGTCCCCAGTCCAAGACGCCACCCTGCCCGGGTGAGATGTCAGACTAGGCCCCAGAGAGGAGTCAGGCCCCGGACATCTCTGTCTTGTCCTGCATATGGCATGGGCTGGAGGATGGCAGGGACACTCCTGAACCTTCGAGGTACAGTAAGGAGGCCGTGGGGCTGGGCTCTCTGGAACAAGCCCAGGGCTTCAGATGGAGGATGAGCGCTCTGCCCCCCAGCTAGGTCAGTGCATCACCACTGAACTGAGGAATGTGTGCAGGGGCTTCTTTGGGGCAGCAGACTCAGAACAAGGGCCGTACCTGGTGCACAGCCCCTGGACAGTGAGGCTATGGGATGCTTGGCTGTTCGTCTAGGTGGGCAGATACTTATCCTGAAATCAAGTGGGATTCCACCAAGTGAGCTCTGCCCAAGATGGCGCTCCAAGCCATAGGTTCAGAGGTCAAATAAGGTCTGTCCTCAAAACAGGACTCTTTCCAGGCACAAGGGACAGAAACCTCACCATGTTGTTTCAGTAATGTAATGATTTGCTTCTTGCTAATACTAGTGGAGCATCTTCAGCTTATTTGGAGAGCAGCAGCAGGGGGCCACTGTTCAGTATAGCTGAGGGGTCCTGATGGCCTAGAGGGTGGATGGCAGCAGTGGCCCTGAGCTGAAGGCCAAGCAGACCTGTGTTCTTTGCTGAGGCTGTGTCCTGTGCACTGCCTTTGTACCAGGACCTAGAGCCAGTGCAGAAAGCTCCCTATTTTCCACTAGGACAGGTCAGTGGGATCCCTGGCCTGTAGAGCCCACAGTGGGGACATTTCTCCAGAGGCTGAGGCTCTGCTCAGGACTTCCTCCCACCACTGGAACCATAGGACACAGGCTGAAGATGGCTCGGAATGCCATGTGCATGGGGCAGGTGTGACACAGATGCTCCATCCTCCTGTGAGTGTCCTCAGAAGAGGTTACTTGTGGCCCCTGGGCATGTGGAGGAGGAAACCCTTGGTGGTCAGGCCTTGGTCAGGACTCTGAGACCCACCAGTCCAGGCTGGGCACGCCCCCAGGGGTCCATGCAGCCCTCCTTGCTGTGATCAGTCAAGTACCGTAGTGCCCTACATGGAACAGGAAGCCTATTAGCTCTGTCTGTGGTGGGACAGGTGGGTGGGAAACAGGCTTCAGAACACCCAGGTAAGGGAGCATCATTCAGCACTAAGGAGAAAGGAGTGATCCGGCCATGGAAAGACATGAGAATCTTAGTCATGCGACTGAGAAGAGCCAGTCTGACCAGGAGATGCAGAGTGATTCTATTGCTGGGATATTTGCAAAGGGCAGAAATACAGGGACAGGAAAAGGTCAAGGGGTGCCAGAGGTTAGGATATGGAGAAGGATGAACAGGCAGAACTCAGCAGTTTTAGGGGGGATGAGAACACTGTATGACACGGCAGTGGTGGACACTTGTCCTCTTACGTGTGTCCAGATCCACAGAACACGCTGCATAGGAGGGAGCCTGGTATGGGCTGCGGACTTTAGTTAATCATATGTCACTATGGGCCTTGCACAACAGTGTGAGGAGTTTGTAATGAGGGATGCAGGGGACCCTCTCTGGTCTCTGCACAGTGTTCCTATAAACACAAAATGGTCCTGAGAGAATTCTTTAAAAAAAGCAAATAGGGCCGGGAATTTAGCTCAGTGGTGCCACTGCCTGCCTCGAAAGCACAAGGTCCCAGGTTTGATCCCTTGTTCCAAAACAAACAAACAAAGCAAACAAAACAATTAAAACACTGGAGCAACAAAAGCAGGTGAACCCATAGGGACAGAGACAGGGTAAGCATTCTGATGTCCTTAAGGTTGTCACAACGGCAAAGATGTGGCCAAGGCTCAGATGCTCAGTTAACTGTGGGCCCGATTCAGACATGGCCCAGCTCAGACGTGAAAATGAGGGCAGGAGGGGAGCAGCTCACAGATCCAGATATGGAAATATTACAACCCTCTTTGTGGCCAATAAACTTGAAATCAGCGGAAATGGACAAATTCTGGGACACGGGTGCCCCCCGAAGCCGCCACCCAGAGGGGAAACTGCATGTCTGGCAGCCACAGAAGGGGTCACCCCAGTGCTCACAAGGAATCCATGCCTGGTGTTGTCCAGTTTAGAGAAACAGGCCATCTGCATCTCTGTGAGCGCTCAGAGAGCGAGGCTGTCCCCACATATGCGGGGAGGGTGACACCACAGACAGCAAATCCACGTGGCAGTTAGGAGGGAAAACCAGACAGGCTTTAATCGCTGACAGCCATGACAAATCCAAAAGAAAACATCGGTGAATTGGGCCCAGTAACATATTAAAGTTTATATAGCAAGACCAAGCTGAGTTTATTGTAGTGACATAAGCTGGCTTGACAAGAGCGGGAGTAACATAACTTACCACATTAGGAAATCGGAGAAGAAGACCCAAGGGACCCTTGTGTCACAGATGGGGAACACAACTACCAAACTCTGTGTCCACGCCTGACCACAAAACCAGAACCAAAGCCATGAAACAGAACTGCCCTATAAACCAGAGGGAGAGAGGACACGACACTGCCTGGTGTTGGCAGACACACCAGGGGCGCTGTGAGGAGAGGAGCTGGAGTCACCACTGCAGTGCACAGCCTGTGATCCCACACAACCAGGAGGAAGGGGTGGGAGCAGAACCCACAAAGTGACAAGGGACCCCTGCTGTTCGCGACAGTATCATCGGAGAGCCACACACGGTGACCATCACTTAATGCAGGGAAAGTCACCTGAGAAGACCCACCCTGAAGGCTGGCAGCACAGCTACAACACGATTATACTGACAAAGAGGAAGACACTTTAGGTAAAAAAGAAGGCCATTTACAACGCCCACAAAGATAAAGTGTCATGGATAAAATATACCCAAGCATGTATGGAGTAGAATTATACAGACGTCACACACCTATGAAGGTGCAGGGCATGCCTCCCTCTCTGGGGAGAATTTTGAGTGTGGAAAGACAGCTGTAACTACATCAAGTCTTTTCCGTGGTCTCACCAGGGCCACCAGACCCCACGAGGTGCCACTTGCATGGCTGACACAGAATGACCAGTTGTAACAACAGGACTGAGGGTGTAGGACCATGGGGGCCCAGCTCTGCTGGAGGAGGTAGGAAGGATACACCACTTGGGGACATGGGTGTTTCTCATAGGAATAAGCACCTATCTCCCCATGGCCCAGCAGTGTCCCTGACAGGTGAGCACACAGGGCACACCGCAGGCTTGCAGCAAAGAAATGGAACAGCCGAGAGTCCACGACAGGCCTGATTCGCCCACTGTGGCCCCTGCCAGAGGCAACTTGTCCTCGGGAGTGACGCGAGCACGGGGACACGCGGCCCAGGGCAGAGGCAGCCAACATAAGCGGGGACGGACAGGCGTCAGGGTGGAGATGGGACTGAAGGAAGGGCACAGGGCCATGGCTCCGCTGGACCGGGCACGAGTATCAGACTATGCCGTACACTTGATAATTGTACCTCTCACTGCATTCACGTTACACCTCCATAAAAATAATATGTAAAATAGAAAGTTTTAAAAATCTCAACTGTGATTTCCTTGGAAGTTGATAAGTGGACCCCAAAAGTTGTAAGAAGTGTGGTGACCTGAGGTTTGTGAGATCCAGAGAGGTGTCTCAGGTTAGGTGGGGCAGGAGAAGGGCCAGGTGCCTGCAGCTTGAGGAAGACAGTGATGTTGACAACCCACGTCCCTAAGGGGATGGCATGAGATGGGCCCCTCAGGACCCCAACTCCCAGGGTACTGACATCTACATATGAAACTTCTGGAACTTAAAGAGAAATCAGGATTGGGTGCAGCAAGGCAGGGACACCTGCACTGGGCTGCGGGGTGTCTAACCCAGGCCTGCGCCCACACCTCGCCACCCCACACAGATGCTCTCACGAAGGAACAGAACTTGGTCAGAGCCAGGAGCTGGTGAGGTCACTCTTGGATGTGCTAGGATGTGCTAGGATGGCCTGTCTGCCCCAGCCCTCCCTGCGGAAGGGTTAGTGGGAAACCGTGAGGTTACTGGTGCCTCTACAGATATGTAGAGGTAGGGTAGTGACAAGAGGCTGCGCTCACCTGAAAGAAGATCTGTAGCACCCCATGGAGGAGGCACAGGCGGCGCCCAAGGAACACAAGGAAGGGTACCAGCAGCTCCAGGACGTGGTTGCTGAGTGTCTCGAAGCGGTGGAACCACCAGGGTGACTGGTGCAGGAAGTAGGCCAGGGGGTTGGGCACAGGCTGTGTCTGTGGGTGCGAGAGAGACAATGATTCTCCATGCTAGCGGTGGGGGCTTCAGGGATGGAATATCCCCTGGATCTAGCACCTCTTGGCTCCCCGAGGCCTGCATAGGCAGAGCCAGCTGGCCTGATTGAGAAGGGCCAGGGCATTTCTGAGGGGAGGTGGGTTTTGAAGGCAAAACAAGTTCATCATTTAAAAGCAAAAACTATACACTTTAATTGAAGGCGTCATGCCTTTAAACCATAGGTCCAAGTTAGGAACACAGGCCCTGCGAAAGGGGACTGCAGGTGGCAAGGTAGTAGCCTCTGAAGCCCAGGATGGTCCCCACTGCCAGGAGACCCTGGGGTTGCCTGGTGCAACCAAGGACCGTGCCCACTTCTGGGCTCAGCAAGGTCCTGAGGTCCCTCTGTCTTTCTGGTGTGGTGGGGGCTTCCATAGGGCCACACAGGCTTTTTTCAAGGGACTGGGACTTGAGCACAGGCCCAGCGGTGGAGGGTGAGGGTGTCACAGACAGCACCAGGCAACTCTGAACAGGTAGGAGGTCTGCCGCAAGGAGGAGCAGAAGCCACCTGGAGAAGAAGGTGCTTTCACTTTGGGCCATGAAGGGGCCTGACCTCCTCACCCTGGCACACAGGGACAAAGCTCCCTCTCTACACTGAAGTCTGGCCGTGAACTGTGTAAGGGGGCAACCTTGTACCCTGTAAAACATAAGCCGAGAGCTGAGGGCGCTGTGGCTTGGTGGAGGCACAGCGCTGGCTCATTCGGGGTCAGTGATTCGTGCATCACACTCAGACACAGGGTAGCCCAGATGTGGGGATCCCATTTCACAAATCTGAAAGGAGACGATCCAAAGTCAGAAAGACACGAGAGGAGAAAGGGTGATGATTTGGAAGGGGAAGCCCCGCTGGGAGATACCTGTGTGCTGGTGTTTCAGCACCTCTTCCTGTCCCTGTAGGGCAAAGTCAAAGGACAGAAGAGCTTGCTTCACTATTTCCCTACCTTTATAAATACAGACTCTGTATTGCGGGTTTTCATCCAAACGGGAATGTGATCATTCGTGCCCGGAGGATGGATCCAAGCTCCACATGCCCTATTTTAACTGAAGACCATGCTGCACACCTCCCATCCACTGACTGGGGCCTCAACCGCACCAACCCAGGCAGAGAGGCCTTGAGGGAAGGCAGCACACGTGTGCCCAAGGCAGGTCCACGAGCTGAAACCTGAAGACCAACCGCTTCCACGGTGCCGACGACAGGATCCTGGGGACCCATGAGCTCTTGATGGGGTGGGGAGGCCCCCCATGCTGACTGACCATGGTGAGGCCTGGGTAAAGGCACGGTGTGTGCAGAAGTGGAGTGGTGGCCAGGGTCCCCTGGAAACTGGTCCCTGGATACCTGAGGCCCAAAGCTGCGGCTGCCGCCTGGGCAGAGGCGGAAGCCAAAGAAACCATGCCAAAGGGTTCTTACAAGCACGAGCCTCCTGGCTCCAGTTCCAAGGGGATGGGAGATAACGAGAAAGGAAATGAGCCTCAGAATGGTGAAAAACACCTTCGAAGTAGCCGGCTCACTGAACAGAGCTTCGCAGGAGTGCTGGTTCCCCAGATGGCAGTGGCGAGGGGCTGTCGTGAGGGTGTGCGCACACTGGACCCAGCACAGGGAGCGTCTGCATCCCTGACCCTTGCGATCCCCAGCTGGCTGTGAGACTCGCCTCCACCGAGATAATACATGACAAGATACCTGGCACCACCCCCGTCCAGGCCTTGTGAAGACTGACCCATGAGAAGGGCTCCTCTGAGATTACCCCCGATGAGGAAGGCCGCCTCGCTGTGAGGCGAGGTCACCTGTTATGTGGTGTGGTCAGTGGAGCAGCACTAGGGCTCCAGCAGGGGACCAGAGCCCTCCTGGGCTCGCTATCACCCAACAAGTATCCTTACCTGACAATCGGAGATGTGAAAAAATATGAGCTGGCAGCCTGGATCTGCACAGATGGGTGAGGAGCCCTAGACATGCTAAGTACACAGCAAACAGGAGCTTGCTTTGCAATTTAATGAAATATTTTTAAAAGGTGATGTGGTTATTTAAAGGAAAATAATAAAATATAGTATGTATTTTATAACATATGCAGAAGTAACTGTGACAATCACAGCAAAAAGGCCAGAAAGGGAAAATGGAAGACTATTACTGTAAAAGGGCTTTTAGAATTTTTGAAACAAAGGTACTATAGGATGAGTTAACTATACATATACTCTATTTATTTATTTAGTTTTTTTTTTGAGACAGGGTCTCATTATGTAGTGAGACTGACCTGGAACTCACTGTGTAGCCCAGGCTGGTCTCGAACTCACAGCGATCCTCCTGCCTCAGCCTCCCGAGTGCTGGGATTACAGGCGTGCGCCACCACACCCGGCTCTTATACATATACTCTAAATCCTAAAGTGACTATAGATATAAAACCACAGAGTGTTAGAGCAAATGAACCATACAGAAAAATTTAAAGAGTCATAATCAGTCTCAACCAGGCAGAAAAAGACGAGATTAGAAATAAGACAACAGACTGATGTCTGTCCATGCCAAAAGCCAGGTTTGACGCAAATGATCGAAATACCCCCACAGAAGGCAGCGCTTGTCAGACAGGACGCAGGTAAGAGACGACTCCAGATATGGTGAGTGGGGGAGAGTCACTGCACAGGCACTGCTCATGGGAAAGCTGTGGATAAAGAAGACATCAGGGCAGGAGCAGGACAGGGAGGAGGAGGAGGAGCAGGAGGAGGAGGAGCAGGAGGAGGAGGAGCAGGAGGAGGAGGAGCAGGGCTCCTTGACATCCAGGAGGAAGTGTAGCGCGTAAACACCTACCCTATGTGGCTAATAACAGGGCCAGACTGCACAGAGCTGGACAGTAAGTAAGGAGGGACGGGAGAGCTGAAACAGCAGCTGCCAACCCCATGTCATTAACACCTGCAGACACGGAACATGGAAAGTCCACTGAAACAGACCGAGTTCTGAAAATTTCAAGACTCAAGGCTGTGAAGTATACTCTGACAATAAAGGAAAGAAATAAGAAGCCCAGAACAGAAACATTTCTGAAAAATGCCCGCAGGTTGAGAAACTCCAACTTCGCGGACCCTGCATTCCAGTGTGTTTTGTCATTTAAGTCAGCGTGGCATCACTGCGAAGTCAGGGGTTAGGATTTGCTCAGCACCACAAAGCCAGAAGGGTGTCTGTGCTTCTACTCTCCATCCTTGGTCTCTGGTGACCTGAGGCCATACCCCTGACCTACCTGTGTCTTGGAATGGGGACCCCTCCATAGGAGGAAGCCTGTGTTCCTCAATCCCTGAGGGTTCAACTTAGTAAATCTTCCAGTGGACAAGCAGCTGAGCCGCAGCTTTCAGTCCACTGGACTGGATTTGGTCATGGCTTCTAGAAAGTTAACTTTTATGGCTTTCGTGAATAGCGTCTACCTTGCCACAAATTATTCCCAGATTAGCAGATCCCTAAATCTTAGGGCACTAGCGACCCACGTCCAAGTACAGACCCAGACAGCTGGCTGGTAGCACAGGGGCCCTGGTCACCATGAAAAGTAAGATCTTGCTAAGCAAGACCCTGTCCGAGAACAAAAATGGGCCGGGGCTGCAGCTCAGTATGAAGGCCCTGAGTTCCATCCCCAGTTATCCACACCCCCCAATAAAATATTTCTCCTGGCTGAGGCCCCATGTGAACAATCCCTGGACCCAGGAGGAAGGAACTGTGGAAGGAGGAAGAGCAAAGCCAAGTTTCATGGTGTAGAGTTGGGAAGCGGCCCCGGGAATGGCTGAACCCAGGGAGCCTCTAGCGAGTGAGCTAGGTGGGCGGGGCCCTAGGCCACTGGAGTCAGGAAACACGCTGTGGTGAAGGAGGGCGGATCCAGCAGCAGCGGCTGGCAGCGCGGGGACACAGACGTCCCTGGAGCCAAGGGTGGGCCGGGGGCGGGGGTGGGGTGTGCGACAGGCCGTAAGCTTCCTAAGCAAGGCTGTCTGGGCAGCAGGGCCTGTCCCTGGGGGGCTGTTACAGCTCTGAGCCACTGCGGTCACTTGTAGAGGCCTGGGAATCAGACAAGCCGACTAGTGCTGGTCTGACATGCTCTGGATCCCAGACCTGGGGTTGGTGAGTGGTGGAGAAGTTTGCAGCGCTCAGTGCCCCAGGAATGGCACCGCAGAACCATCTGGCATGGATCGCGCTGCTTGTCCACAAGCCTCCTGCATGGGAGCCCCAGGAGGTGGCCCTGGTGTGGATGGCAGACATGGGACCCTGGGAAAGGGAGTCAAGGGGCACCAATCAAGTAGAGGGGCTGCCCGCACTGCTGGACACCGCTCCCTTCCGGCCTGTGAGATGAAACCTGACCCCCAAGGCAAACAGCCTCTGGGGTTTGCAGGACACGGCAAGAGAGGGCCTGAAAGGCAAAATTAAATTTCCCCTGGGCCAGGGATTTAGCTCAGTGGTTCCACTGCCTGCCTTGCAAGCATAGGGACCCAAGTTTGATCCCTGGTACCCGCTCCCCCCCAAAAAACACAAATTAAAAAAAATTTCCTCCAAACTCCTAGCAAGAAATTAAACCTACCCCCCCGCCCCAGATATGTGCATCGACTGCAACATCTGTAGTTTCTTCACTAGAGATACAGCATAGGACACTGTCTGTTGTATCAAAACCATCTGAGGGCGGCTGGGGATTCAGCTCAGTGGTTCCACTGCCTGCTTTGCAAGCACAAGGTCCTGAGTTCAATCCCCAGTACCCCTCTGCCAAAAAAAAAAAAAAAAAAAAAAAAAAACAACCCAAAACTAAAAAAAAAAAAAAAATCTGAGGAATCTGTGCTCTATTCTTCTTGATGACAAAGACTTCTTAAACCCCAAGTGGAGACAGACCCTGTGGCTGGAATGCTCTACTTCTCACCCACAAAGGCTGAGTGGTGCCAAGGAAAGCTGCACGCCCATAGGCCTGAGTAGGGGCTGGGTCCTACCCACTCACTCTCTGTT